ACCTGGCCTTGGACAATTCCAGGGATCCAGGGGCAGCCACACTTCCCTGGGCACCATTTTTCTCCCTGTCCCTGCTTTTGGGAACATACCCAGGAAAACAGTGCTTGTGTTGACTTGTCCCTGCTGATTTCTACTCAAGAGGGAGGGATTTTGGGGTCTGCAAGGTGTTTTTGGACATGGCAGCACCCACCACACGTGTGTTTGGGCTCTGGGGGTGGCACAAGCCCTGCAGTCCTTGGGGACCAGGCAGGAAATCATGGCATACCAGAATTCTTTGGGCTGGAAGACCTTAAGGATCATCCAGTTCCAACCCCCTGCCATGGGCAGGAAAGCCATAATATCCTCTAGAACAGAAGATAAGGTGCTGCTTGGCTTCATTTGAAAGCTCTGCATGTTTGGTCTTCAAAAAATGACTGTTTATCACTTATTACCCCAGATAACATTCAAATCCCATGTTTTCCTGGGTGGTGGAGGTGTCCCGAGCTCCCCTTGCCCTCCCAGCCCGCTGCCAATTCCCAGTGCCACCTTTGTCCCCTTGGCTTTGCAGAAGCTGAAGCACACAGAGAGTGACAAGCTCCAGGTGCAGATCCAGGCCTACCTGGACAACGTGTTCGACGTGGGAGCTTTGCTGGAAGACGCCGAAACCAAGAACGCGGCCCTGGAGAGGGTGGAGGAACTGGAAGAGAACATTTCTCACGTTAGTACCGCACCTGGGCACCTTGGTCTCAGCTCAGGGGGATGTTCTGGGAGGTGGGAGCACAGGCAGTGCAGGGCCACAGCCTTTGGAGTGAGGTTGGAAAAATCCTGGGACTGCTGTGCCTCTGTACTGGGGGATGTTCGGATGCTGGTTGTTCCAGGTGGAGTCACTTGGCACAGGAGTTGTCTCAGGAGCTGAGAATGCTGATTTACATCGAAATTCCCAATTCCTCAGCAGGGTAGGACCTAAATAGAGTAGAAAACCCTCCTGGCTGGGCCTTGGACGCATTGCTGGGCTCAGGAGGGAAGGGGCTGAAAAATAGTGTTGTGGGGACCCTCAGGGTTTGCTCAGTTCAGTGTCTGCTCACACTTTGCTCTCCCAAACCTTGGGGTCAGTTCCTCCAGTCCAGGACACGTGGCTTGGCTTTTTGAAAATAATAAAAAAGTGGTTTTCCAGACTTTAAAAAAGCCATCAAGTGATCTCCATTCTCTCACCGTTCCTGTATTACTTAGAATAAATATGGTTTTAAACACTTTGCCCCTCTGAGGTGTCACAGAATCATGGAATGGTTTGGGTGGGAAGGGACCTTAAAGGTCATCCAGTTCCATGCCCTGCCATGGGCAGGGACACCTTTCACTATTCCAGGTTGCTCCAACCTGGCCTTGGACACTTCCAGGAATCCAGGGGCAGCCACAGCTTCTCTGGGCAACCTGTGCCAGGGCCTCCCCACCCTCCCAGGGAGGAATAAAGGAATTACATTTTAAGAACTTTATTGCAGAATAGACTTTCTTGTCTGGACAGGCCCATAGTGATGGTCCAGCCAGGCATCTGCTGATCACAGCTGAGGGGTGACATTCATCACAGGAACCTTCAGTGGGGCACGTGATGTCCCTCATCTCAGGCAGGAACCCTTTTTATTTCCAAAGGAAGGCCTCAGGATTTGGTTGAATATCCGTAATAACCATGTCCCACTGCTCCAACAAGTGTCCCGATGTTTTGATGGATAAAACTACAGTTTTCCACTTAATTAATCTATTCCTCTTTGGATTGACAGTTATCTGAAAAACTCCAGGATACGGAGAACGAGGCCATGGCCAAGATTGTGGAACTGGAAAAGCAACTTATGCAAAGGAACAAAGAACTGGATGTGATCCGGGTGAGTGGGATGGGGGAGGCTCTACCTGGATTCCAGGGAGCTCCTGGGCTGGGGGAGGTGATGGGTCTGGGGCAGTGACTTCTGGTGGCTGCCAAATTTGAACCTGGGACAGATTTGGGGTGGAATTCCTTGTGTGTGCACTCCAAAGGACCTGGAACTGCGAGTGTGGCAGCAAATGAGGGAATGAGACAAAGGCATCTTATTGCTCAGGGCTGGAGTGTTTCTGTTTGGGGTTTTTGAGGTCCCAAGGGTTGGGGGTTCTGGGGTTCCTTCTGGGGGTCTGCCCTGGGTATGTGCAGGTACAGCCTCCTCTCTAGAGCAGGAGCTGTGCTGCTGCTTCCCTTTGTCTGCTCACAGGGCATGGAATTGCAGAATCCTTTAGGTTGGAAAAGCCCTCCAAGATTGAGTCCAACCATCTCTCAGCACTGCCCAGGCCACCCCTGACCCCTGTCCCCAAGTGCCACATCCACAGGGCTCTGAAATCCCTCCAGGGATGGGGACTCCACCCCTGCCCTGGGCAGCCCCTTCCAAGGCCTGACCACCCTTTCCAGGGAGAAATTCCTGCTGATGTCCAACCTGACACAGCCTGAGGCCGTTCCCTCTCCTCCTGTCCCTTGTTCCCTGGGAGCAGAGCCCGACCCCCCTCGGCTCCCC